AAACAAAAAAAAAACCCACAAAACTTAAACTTTACCAATATTCATAGCTGTTAAATAAAGGAGGAGTTAATCAAATTGAATACTTGTGGAAGATCATGTGAAGGAATCAGGGGAAAAATGTCCCCCCAGCCCATCACCAGCAGGCCCTCACCTCCCTGCACAGGAACAACACCGGCAGCGCTCCTCGACCGGCAGCCAGCGCTCACAGCAGAGAAGTGTTCCCTTCCAAAGTATCAGATACCCTGCTACYGCCAGCAACTCAGTATCAGATTAAGGGGATAAACACTTCTGCTCTGCTGCAGTAAGTATGATCCAAAGATCTCAGCTTTTAAACTACAATATTTTTCATTAAATACATAATGTAAGATGGATATTAAAATACTGCTATTAGCAGCAACTGGAGTCTTACATTTTGTTTAAGTCTGAGGAAACCACTTCCAAACCTTTTACTCCTTTATAGTTACTACAATTCATCTTCTGGCCTTCCAGAAGTCATCTTTGCTTGTAAAGCCTTCCACTTTTCTGCTGATCATATTTTAATAATCTGTGGCAAGAAGGAAGGTCATCAATATAAACCACAAGTACTAAATATTTGACATTCGTTCCAGCTGCACCTGCTGACCTGTTCATTTAAAGTATCCATGATCTGTACTAACCTATCTGGGTGAGATACTCCTTTAATTAATACAAACAGGGAAAAAAAAAGCTATGCAAGCGTGCAGTATTCAGTAAACAAGGACATGCTGGGTCCACATAATTTGAGAGAAGCAGAAGCTAGCAAAGAGGGACTGAATAACTGYCGTGTAAGATAGGCTTTGAAGAGAATTGTTTCATGTTCAGCATCTTTCCCCTTTATACTCAAAAATCAATTAGGTTGTTTTCCACAAATTGTAAATAGCTTCCAAAGGCTGCAAATAATTCCCTGCTTTAAGTATGAATGTCAATGAACTCATTCAAAATCATCTTCAAATGTCAGAAAAGATTAATATATCCTGGTCACAGAAGGAAGGTCAGAAGAAAGCGCACGCTTTTAGCCTTTCCTCTGGTGGGCACGATCCAAAGCCAGCCTAAGTCTATGGGAAAACTCCACGAAGGGACCCAGCATGGCAAAATTACACAACAAGTGCTCAAAACACAAGAGACCAGAAACAATCTGGGATCAATAGCTTCCAGGTCATTAATCCTAGGCAGGTGACATCCAGTGCACAGTTCGCTACTCTCTTTCACCCACACATTCAAGAAACCTGACTCGACTGGCATCTAGTAGCTTTAAATATTTTCCATGTTTTGCCTTTATCCTTCCTCTATTTGTTTGGCATATGGCTTTCTAGCATCCCATTAATGTCAAACCATTTAATCGGAATGTAAGCTAAATGCACAGTTTGCTATTTCCTGGATTTCTGTTTGGCGGCCAGTGCTTTTTATGAGGAAAATAAAAGCAAAGGTCAGTATGACCAGAAAAGAAAAGTCATCTTCCATAACGGAAGCTTATTTTTCCAGTGAACTGATACACAAGCCTAATTTAGAAAAAGGTCCTTTAGTATCATGTTATTATTAGTAGTATCACAAATAAACACAGAAACCAATTCACTTTACAGACCTCCACATTAAGCATTCAATAGAAAATCCCTTGGTGTTTTATTGATTTTTGTTTTATTGATTTTTTTTAAATAGCAATATCACAGTTTAAATGTATCATTTTGGTGAAACACATCTAAAACTTTTCCGTCTCAAAATAAGTTATTACAAATTATTTCCACAGCAACTGGAAACTAACGATTCAATCCATTTAAAGAACAACAAAGTAATGGCTTTATTTGGATGCCTTTTTTGATTAAATAACATATTAACCTTGATGAAGCTTTCCAAAAAGGGATTAGCGTACTCGAGTGCATCAGCTGATAATGAGACAAATATAACAGTGATAAGATGCTGGTTCGAATTTTTTGAATCTGATGAGTATAACAATTTAGCCGCTAGAATGGAGTTGGCTCTTACAGCTTCCATCTCAACAGTAAAGTGTCCACCCGGGATACAAAAAGACATCACCCAGCTMAAGTATGCAGTAACTGGGAGTCTGGAAATATCACTTAAATCACTAAACTCAGTAGACCAAAATTCCCTGCATAATACTGTAATGTCAGAAATAATTAAAAATAATTTGTAAAGAGAGAAGAATTAAATGTATCAGAGGGGAAACGCAGAAAGCAAATACAGGTTTATCTTCCCATTTTATCATCCATTTTGACCAAAACTCACTGACCCACTTTGCTTTATTTGTCTATACTGTAWTAATACATTTTGCATATCCTTCCCATTAATTTATTTGCTTAATGGATGTATAAGTAAGTCTACTACAATTAGGCTTTTTAAGGGTCAAATCTTATTCACTTCTGAACCCCTACTGTAATTTCTACTACACTGGAAGATAACACAGCAAACCTCAGGAACAGCTGAAACACAGCCGATTCTGTGCTGTTGACATAATCAAGCCATGTTACAACGGGGCTGCCAAACCCTTTTATAACCCTGCCAAGTCCACGAATTGGTGTCTCCACACTCCCCCAACTCCACCCCCCCCCCCCCAAACCAAAAAGTTTCTGTATTTCTTAATTCTATGTATTCAAGTTAAAATTCACACGATATGTCTGTGGCAAAGTAAAACTTCCATCGGTTTATTTTAAGGACCAAAACTTGGAACTCTTGCAGAGTTGTTACAAGTTACACACCACATGGACACACACACACCCACACACAAAACCCCCAACCCAACAATTGTCTAAGAGCAGCTATTAATATTCATGTTGATTCCACATGAAACAACAGCAGAGTTACCCGAGCAGCTACAGTTATGTCAGCGCTTGGAAGTTATTCCAGGCTGTTTTGTCCTGCTGCCCTGAATATTCAGGAACTTCAACAATCCATCTAGCAACAGCCACCGCAGAGTAAGTGCTCTGCTTCGCCTGGCTCTATGCTAATGACTGCCAGGCACCCTCTGCTGCTTCGGGGGGTTGAGGGGAGGGAGGGGGGGATGAGAGGAGGGAGGGGGCGATGTCACACCCCCCGCCATCGGCGACGGGACGGGACGGGACGAGCTGGAGCACGGCATTGCGTGGGGTTAATTTCCCACGTGTTGGTTGTTGTTGCACCTTGAAATCTGACAAGAGGAAAGTGAAACGAGCCCGGTCTGTTTGTTTGGGTATATTCAAAGTAGCATCGGGACTTTGTCCGCGATCTCCTCCGTGGGAAGTTCCCGCCGCCCCTCCAGCGCGGCAGAGCCGGAGCCCCCCGCCCCCGCCCGAGGCAGAGGGAGCCCTCGGGAACTGGAGGCGCTTCCGAGCGCACTGATCTCGGGGTCACGGCAGTTATGCGATCYCTTCTCCTTATCGAGCAGATTCAGCCCTGTAACCTACAGATTGAGAGATAACAGCCCCATGCTTTCGCTCTCCGTTGCAAAGGCGGCTRCTATTGCATCAGGAATTTCCTCTTTTGCCAGCTCCTTCTATCCCCCCGACACTCCTCCCCGGTTGTGGCAAGTTTGGGGCTCACCTCTCCCCCGCGGCCCCCCCGGCCCGCGGGATGCGGGGATATCCCCGCACCGTCCGCAGCCGAAGCGCTGCTCCCCTCCCCCGGCGCCGTCCCCGCCACCGCGCCCGCGTTACTCTGCGCGGTAGCGCGATCCAGCCTTGCCAAATCCCTGCCGCGCTCCCGCTGCCCCCCGTCTCCTCCTCCCCGGCTGGCGGGGGCCTGGAGCTGCTCGCACCTGCTCCTCAGGGACCGACACCCCCACCCCCCCTCGCCGAGGAAGCAGCCCAGCCCGGCCGCCTGGCACCTCTCCCCTCTACCCCAAAGAAAAGCCGCCGCCACCTCCTCCTCCTCCTCCTCCTCCTCCTCGCCGTCTTCCCGCCCTTCATTCACCTCCCCCGTTCGCCATGTGGCAACTGCCTTACAGCCCTACACAAAAAGTGCACGTGCCCCCTCGGATGTGTGACAGCAGCTGATGGCCAAGCGGCCTCCATCGCCCCGGAATGGGCCCGACGCCCGGGCAGCTCTGCGCCCCATCCCAGTTAACGCGACACCCGAGTGTCTATGTCGCCGTCCCCCCATCAGGACCGCTCCCCGCCCACTCCCGTGCACCCTTCGGGCGGCTTTTCCCCAAGGTTGCYTGCTTTAAAGATACATCCAGGGAAAAACTTCAGCAGGGGGTTCGGTCAGAAAGCACTTTCTGGCCCTGCTGCCCCCTTCYCACCCCCGCCGGCCCGGCGCCCCCGCGCTGAGCTGCTTGCGGCCACCCTAGCCCCCGGCACGCCTCTGCCGGGGGGCAGGGAAGGGGACAATGACAGGGCGACACTTGCAGGGCGCAGCGGGAGGGGGGCACAAACGCCCCTTCTCCGTCCCTTCGTCCCACCAAGAAGCAGCGCGGCTGGCTGCGGAGAAGGCCGGCGGAGTGCCGGGGCAGCGCGGGAGGGGGCAGCGGGAAGGGGCAGCGGGAAGCGGCGCAGCGCCCGCCCGGACCGCACCGCGCGGGGGTGGGACGGGGGCGGCGGCGGGGGGGCCGGCGGGGCGCGCGTGTGCCTTGCGGCGCTTACCTGGCGTTGGTGCAGTCGTTGTAGAGGGTCTCGAAATCCTTCCTGGAGATGAGTTTGCAGCGGTTGACCCCGGGCTGGATGGCCCCCAGCCCCCTCAGGATGCGGACCTGCTCCACGTTGCAGACCACGGGCGTGATCTCGAGCCGCTTCAGCTTGGTGTAGACCGTGTGCAAGCCCCCCACCAAGTGCTTCAGGAAGAGGTCGAAAGCCTGGGGCAGGCAGATGAGCTCGCAGCCCTCCACGGTGAAGGAGGCCACTTTGGCCCCCCTCAGATCCACCATCTTGCACTCGTTATTCTGGGGGGTGTTCTCCACCGGGGACGGGGTCGAGTACACGGGCTTGCCGGGCAGGCTGCCGGCCGCGCTGGCCGCGCTGGCATTGGGAGTGGAGGTGCCGCCGCTGCCGCCGCCGCTGCTGCTGCCGCCGCCGCCGCCGCCGGTGCCCAGGCTGGGGCTGCTGCCGCCGCCGCTGCCGTTACCGCCGCCGCCGCTGGTGGTGGAGGTGACTGTGGCCGCCGCCGCCGCCGCTGCGATGGGCTCCGGCCGGAATAGGTTTGTCCCCGAAGCGGCCGGCGGGGGAGCGATGGACGGAGACGGAGAGGAGGTGGCCGACGACGAGGTGGCCGACGACGAGGTGGTGGTGGTGGTGGTGCAGGCGGCAGAAGTTGAGACCGGAGGCTGAGGGGGGACCAGCTGGGTCGGAGGGATCAAAGCAGCCGGTACGGCCATGGTCACATATACGGCGGAGGGGGCAGGGGGAGGGGGGAAAGTTCCCACACACACACGCAGGGGAAAGGGGAAAAATTTAAAAAAAAAAAAAATTATTAAAAAAAAAAAAAGGAGGAAAGGAGAGAAGGGAGGAGGGGGGAGAAGAAGGGGGGGATAACCCCAGATCAGGTGCTGCGGCGAGCGAGAGAGCAGGGGGCAGAGTGAGAGAGAGAACGCACAAAGTGTCCCGCAAGTGGGGACGGAGGAGGAGGAGGAGGAGGAGAAGTCCGCTCCGGGCGGCGGGGCTGGGGCCGAGGGGAGGGGGAGGGCAGTTTCTTTTTGTGGTCCTTGCTCTAGCACCACGTTAAAGACGAAGGTGAAAAGGAGGAGGTTTGAAGGACTTCGGTTCTCTCTGGCAAGTACATTGATCAAAGATTGAGAGGGGAATGACAGAGAGAAAATGAGCTGGGAAGTGCTGGCTGCTGCCGCCGCCGCCGCTCGCTCGCTGGACGAGTTGTTGTTGTCACACGGTGCGGAGGGGAGGAGCTCCGGCAACTTGAAATACCCTTTGAAGCAGCAAAAGGCTCACTCACTAGTATTAACCCAAATTATCCAACCAGGAACCCGGAGCAGGAAAACAGCGAGAGAGGGAAGAGAAGTCCCTCTCCCCCCCTCCTTCAGGAACCGTTAGATTACATGTTTCATATTTCACCCCACCAGAGATGAGAGATGTAATTTTCCCAGCCCTTTTCAACAGTCGCTTGTCAACACAGTTTGTGGAGAAACGCGAGCGTCTCCAGCGTTCCCCCAAAGTCGGGCGGGAGCGGGGGAGCCGGGGCGCGAGGGGGGCGCCGGGCACCGCACACCTTGCCGGGGCAGACAGACAAAAGCAGAAACCTCCGCACGGGGCTGTTGCTCTTGCCGCTGTTGTTGCTCTCCCGGGACCACAAACGCTCCTCCCGGCGGGGTGGGAGCTGCTGCCGAGGGTCCCCTTTGTTGCGCGGGCGGCGGCGGCGGCTGCGCGGGGCGCGCACGGACAGCCCCACGCGGCGGCATCCGCGGAGCACTTTCCTGCGGATCGGAGGGGACGGGGCACCAGGAGCCAGGCCGCCGAGACACCGCGCCGAGCGGGCTGCGGCGGCACACGAGTAACTCGGGAGAGGCGCAGGCGGGCGGCCCGCGCAGTCCCGCCGCGCAACAGGTGCGGGTACCGCGCAGCCCGCCCGGCCCCTCCGCGCAGGGAGCGCGCAAAGTCAGCCGGCGCGGTGGGGCGCGCATGCGCCGTGGGGCGGGCGGCAGGCGCGGTACCTGCCGGCCGGGGCCGGGATGCGGCGGGAGCGTTTGGCAGCTGGAGTGCGGGCTCCGTCCGGAAAGCCCGGGGCTGGGTGCTGCGTGTCCTGAGGGCGCTTCGCTCTTTGAAAGGGGTAAAGAAATGGCCATTGGTGCAGATGGGGGGTCTGCAAAATCAGGGGTCGGTGCGTGCGTTCTTCCTGTTTAAAAAATACACCCTGTGTATACTTAATTGCGGTGCATGTATGTGCCCATAGCCCTTTTTTTTTCCTATGTATACTATTACATGAGGCATGACTCATGGGATGACACATCTGTAGAGTGGATAATCTCAACTGTAGTAATTTGGTGCAGGGGAATTTCCACAGGATCAGACATAAACTATTCTCATACGACGTGCTTGCTTATTGTACTTTAAGTTCAATTTATGGGAATTTGTGTTCTAGTGCTACTTAAGACTCCTTTAGCTAGTGAAATGTAAGCTATCCTGCACTAAAATCTTTAAAATTGCAAATAAAACCAGGAAAACACAGAGCAGTGTTTTACTTTGAAGTCTTATGTACCCAAAACTGTGCAGAGCAGCTCTTTGAGCCATTTTTAGGTGGTTATTTTTGAGAACGTTTATCTGAAGGAGCTTATACAACTTGAGTTCCACTGGTGGGATCCCAGTGGTGGGATCTAGTGTTGCATGAAACTTGTAATTTCAAAATGTAAATACACTGCCTCTTTCTTTTTTTCACTTGTAGAAAGCCAACTCTGTCCATATCTTCTTTCCTTCCGTTGTTCTTTTTGCATGTCACCTTCTCTCACACCTTGTGAAGACAGAACAGATCCATAAGAAGATCGGGACACAGGCAGATGATACTGCCACTTGAAGATCTGGGTGAACTCTGAATTAGGAAACCTACTGCTCCATTTGTTCTCTAGCTTTCCTACAACATGATGCACACCAGCCCTCCTGCTTTTCTGCTTGCTGTGTGCTCTGACAGATAATTCTCATGGCCAAAAAGAAAATGTAGTCTGAAAGGGTTTACTGCCAGGGGTTATATCAATGCAACACTGAGATCAGAAACCTAGAAAGAAAGATTTTTTAAAAGGTTCAAGATTCCTCAAAGCTTCTGGCATGGTAAGTATTTCTAATTATTATGGGGAGCATCTCAATTTAATTTAACTCGCACCTATACAAATACACTGACACAMACCAACAAATCCTGAGGTCATTCTTTGCAAACTTCTCTAGACTGCATTTCTCTWACTTGCTGACCCCTTCATGTAATGATATTGTTGAGTGTTTTCTTTTTCTCTGTCGGAGTTGATATCAGCAAAACTCAAATTACTGTAACTGATATTTGAAAATTCTCCCTGTGTCAAGTGAAGACTTATGGTGCTGAAATCAATAAGACTGTTTAAAATTCAAAGACCTGCAAATCGTTCTGTTTGTCCTTTGATAGGGCCTGGGCTGATTAAAATGCGACCAAGAAAGCTTAATTGCTGCACTAATTAAGAAGTCTTTAATTTCTCTCTTGGAATATTGTTTGAAGCAGGATTTCTGTTCTGCTCATGTAACTGTTCAGGGCAGGTATTCTTTCTCTCTTCTTTTTTCTTTTTACCATTTTGGTGTATTAAARTGTATGCTAAAACAGTAAGACGTATTGACAGTGATTGTAATTTATTGCTCTAAAAAAAGACTGATATGGAGTTCACTATTTTATTAAATTACAATTTTGAGGGCAGCTGTAAAGGGTAAAATGCAATTAGAAAATGCATTGTAGCTGTTGCATTTTAAGGAATTTGAATACTTGACTGACAGGAGATAGGATAGTACATCAGCTTCCTCCCCCATCTTCAGTTATTATTGATAATTAAATATTTAAATTCATTCAGGAAAAAACCCAGTAAAGTATTTATCTTCTGAACATGTGTGAAGGAATGGACCGGGGGAGGGGATGCATACAGAAGACAGGCACCTGGTAAGGATGAATAGTGTATTATCATGTTAAGTTCATCCACAATTTTTTTTTCCCTGCATTTCTTCGGAATTCATTTTCCTGAGAAATACCTTTCTGTCTTGTATCATATCCTACCCTTGTTTAGTGACCTATTTTGTTCGCCGTTTCTGAAGAGGAGAAACTAGATGATTTCACAAAGCTTTCTGTGTGATCAATAGAGTAATGGTTTAGGTTTAATCATGCTGCATTATAATTCTGGCAAACGACTGCCGGGCAGAAGATTCTAAGAAAGGAGCAAGTACTGGCGAAGAGAAGGTAAGTTCTGCTTTGCTTTAATCTCAGGTCTCGAGCAGCAATCCGCCTTTGAGGATCTATCTGTTATTTAAAGGGAAGACTGAGAAAGAGGGAGGGACCTCATACTGAATCCCCCCTGCATCGCTCAGGAAAATAGACTCATAGAAATGTAAGTGTGTGAATAGGGATCCCTTTTTGCTTCTCTTCCACCAGGACATTTGCTAAACATTGACAAACACCATGCAAACAGTTGAGACTGATGTGAAGTGTTGTACCAGTAGTAAGAAACTGGATGCTGCAGTGGTGTTTTTCTAATTGTTGTGTTATAGTCAAAGTAGCACAAAACCTTGTCCAATACAAATACAAACTGGATTCCTTTCAGTGACAGGACAAGTAGATAACATGCTTAATAGATACAAAGGGAGATTTGCCATTCCAAGCACGACGTCACGCTAATTATGTTTACTCTAATTGAAAGCAAGGTTTTGGGGAACCTGAAATTACTCATAGGATATTTTTAATAGCTGAATAATAATAAAGTGCAGCAAACGTGGATCACAAACCTTTTGGTCTTTCAAAAATCTATTGGAAAATTAAATGAAAAGTGGAGTTTGGTACAAACAATGCCCCAGGGCAAAAAAACAACTAACACTAGATTTTCCAGTCCAGCCATAACACAAATCAATTTGAGCACACTTCTATGGCCAGACTGCCAGATTGTTATGACTGCTAATTCACTCAATCAAACAGTACATTAGTACACCGGGCACAAACAGCTTTAACAATAGCATACATTTCTGAACAGTCCACCATATATCATAAAAAAATCCAAAATACATGGCAAGATTGCTTTCACATTCTGTTTACTGAAATTGTATTTACATATGGTGCCTGCCTAACAAAAAAAAAAAGTGGTGGAAGAATGAAAGTGAAGAAACTTCAGGAGCCATTAAAAATAACTTTTAGTGTCCTTAAAAACGAGAATCTGGGAGCACTTGCTCCTGCTTGTGCTGGTGTTTAATGTGAACAGCCGGAGAGCTGAAAGCAGTGGCTGGCCATCCCCAGCACAGAGCTGGATGGGGAATTGCTGCGGGCTTGGCAGCTCGCACACGCCCTGCCTAACCCCGGCACTTCAGCGCTAGACCGTCTTTTGCCGGCTTTACTCCCGCGAGTCAGCTCACTGGCTCCGAGGGTATTCCCTGCCTGAATAGAGGGGCAGGATTTAGCCCCCGGGAATATCCCTCAATTCTTCCCCTTCATCCCCACGTGCAACGGGTGCTGTCCCCGGGGATGCTGACTGCTGCTCCGACCAAGGTCGCGCTGTACTGAGAGCTGCAATACCCGACGGCTCGGAAGCCCTCTCATCCCTTTCCCTCCCTCCTCGCCTGCATCCGACACACACACAAACACACGCACACCCCCACACACACCCACGCACAAGCGCATGTATGCAAATTGCGAAAACCAAACGCCAATTAAGCTGCTTATTTACGATTTTTTTTTTTTCCTTAAGTCGCTGTTCTGACTTCAGAAAAGGCGTTTCGAAGTCAGTAACTAAAACAGCCCTTCTGTCGATCTGAGCCTCTCGGTCACGCTGCTGCTACCAGAGCCACATGGTGAAATGGATCGGGTCGTATTCCYTTCCCGGGCTGGCTCGGGATGGAGGGATGGATGGAGGGAGGAATGGATGGAGCAGCGGCTGGTCACTGCCTGCTGACATTCACCTGACAGCTGACAGCCGAGCGGGAGAGCTGCAGCGCGGGGAGGAAATGATAACCAACTTCCCTGCGTGATTTAAATGAGGGCTGGGATAGACGGGGGGGCCCTCTGTGATGTTTGAGTAAGACTTGGGCTCTCATTAGAGGTCCTCAGTCCAACGTGCTAATTCACCTACCAACAGGTAGGAAGAGTCGCTCGGAGCAATAATTATGAAGTACAAAGCTCTTGCCATTAAATTATGTTAAAGCGGTGATCTAATCTGAGCTGCCCTTTGCCGTGCCTTCCCCCCTTTACAGAATTAGTTCGCTCAGCCGCTCGATCCCTCGCTCCCAACCCAGGCTAATCGGAGCAGTGGCACCGGGGAGCCGGCCCCGAGTTCAGCGCTCCTGGCTCTCCAGTGCGCACCCCGCTCTCCGCCGGTGCCGGGGGACCGCTCTTGCTGCTCCGCGCCGGGGAGCGGGGGGCAGCGGCTGAATCCTCCTCCCTCCATCCATCCCTCGGCCCCGCCGTGCCCCCGGTGCCGCCGCCCGCGGGACGATGAGAGGGGAGGCGGGCGGCGATCGGGCCCCCGAGCCCGGCCGGGCGGAGGGCAGCGGCTCGGCTGCCGCTCCAGCMCTAATTGCTTCGCTTAATAATAATAATAACAGCAAGAAATGCACATTGCCTTCTTCTTTTTATATGAGAACTGACAGCCTGCGAGACGCAGCCTCTTCTTCCTCATGTCACTTGAGTGAATGGAAAACGTGGGGGAGTTACCTTTATTATTCCTATGTTTCAAAAGAGCAGACAAACATTCTTAATTGGGGTGGGTATTTTT